TACCTGTTATATATTAGTTAATTGTTGACATGTTATCTTTCTGCTGTTGTATCTTTATCTTTCTGTTCTGTTTAATTGTCTGCTTTGTTTGGTGGTTTTTTCCTAAATGTATCTAGGCTGTCTTTCAATATTCTTTGCAGGGTTGGCTTGGTGATCATGTAGTTTTTTAGCTGTTATTTGTCATGGAAGTAACTTATTTCTCCATCCATTTTGAAGGACAGTTTTGCAGCGTATATCAGTCTAGATTGGAAATCATTTTCCTTTAGGATCTGAAATACTTCACTCCATGCTCTTCTTGACTTTATTATTTGTGCTGAGAAGTCTGCTGTGTTTCTGCTAGGTTTTACTTTATAGGTGATCTGTCTTTTCTCTCTGACAGCTTTTAATATTCTATTCTTTTGTTCGATTTCTGGGATGGCCATTATTATGTGTCTGGGTGTAGTTTTATTTTGGTTATGGCTATTTGGGGTTCTATATGCTTCATTGATCTTGATATCAGTTTCCAATCTCATGTTTGGGAAATTTTCAGCTATTACTTCTCTAAATATCCTCTTGACATCCTTTATGTTGTCCTCTTCTTTTTCATTTATCCCTATTAACCTTATGTTGTTCCTCTTTGCGTCATCTTGCAGGTGTTGAATTGTTATTTCCTGATTTCTTGTTATTTTTAAAAGATCTTTCCTTTCTTGTTCACTGGCTGCAATCTTGTCTTTGAGGTCTGAAATTCTATCTTCACATTCATTGAGGCAGTTTTTACAATTTTCGATGGAGTTTTTGATTTCCTGTATATCTCTTTGCATCTGCTTAATATATTCTGTTTGTTTCTTATATTGTTCATCCAGGGATTCTATCTTTTTGTTTATCTCCTCAAGTTTTTTAACTGTGTCTTCTTTAGATATGTTCAGCATCTCCTTCATTTCTTTTATCATTTCTTCTTTTACCTGAGAGATTATTTCTAGTTTGAATTCCTTTAAGGCTTCCCAGAGTTGCTTTTTTATTTCAGTTGCTATTATTTCAGGTATTTCAGGAATGTGGCATATATTTTCTTCTATGCGCATGGCTCCTAGGCTTTCTTGGGTTGGGCTGGATGTTTGAGATTGCATTTTGGTCTTTTGTTTTGTCATTTTCCTATATTTTCTAGCTTCAAGTGTTATTCCAAATGAGGAAGAGAGGTCAGCCAGGCTGGGACAGGATTCCCTGCCCCCTGCTGCCTCACTGATCCCTACAGGAAGCTGAGGCCTGGCCCCCAGGCAAGGGAGAGAGTTTCCTGGACTGGGGCGGGGTTCCACGCCTCGCTGGACTTACTTGTCTGGACAGGAAGCCAGGGCCTGGCCCCCATCCCATGCTCTTTCACACCCCTTTCTACCTTCTGCCCTAGACTTGTGTGTGTTCTCAACCCTTTCCCCTGCCCACCTGGAGCTTGTGAGGAGGAGTTAACCAAAGAGTCAACTTTATATCCCTGCCCCCAGTGACTTCCTGGTCTCACTGCTGGCATTTTGTGAGGATCAGTTCAGCCTATGTGACAGTTTCCTGAGCACCTCATCTGTGCCCCACACAGTGCCAGGCAGTGCTGTGTGTGTTATCTCTTTCCATCTTCACAGGGACTCTGTGATCCCTGTCACATCATTCCATTTCTTACAAATAAGGAAACCATGGCTTAAAGGAACTGTCCTTTCATTTGTTCATTCAGCAAACAAATTTAAAACAAATTGTAGTACCTACGATGTGACAGAACTTTGATACATCAGGACTGTGAAAATGGGACCCCAAAGCTGTTGCAGATGGGTACTGAGAGGTAGACTGTGAGACATCTGAATTTGGCCAAAAAAGAAAGATTAGGGAGCACTTTCAGGAGAGCAGGGAAGGTGGCAGGAAGCCTGAGTGGAACCCTCAGCCAGTACTGTAGGGGTTCTAAAAATGAGCGTCCTTTTGCTGCTGTCCAGATTGAAACAAGGACGTCCCGTTTCAATGCCCTGTGCTGATGAGTCTTTGTGGGACGCTGTGCCTGATGGTGGGACCACACTCCTTGATCCATTCCCTTGTGCAGGCGATAGCTGGATGGTGCTCTTAGCTTTGGGCTGTTGGGAGCTTTGAAGGTCCACCACCAGAGAGAAGGTCTCTTTCCCTCGTGAGTTTACATTCCAGCCTTGATGTCGGGCTAAGGATATGATCCTGTCAGCAGTGAAGAGGATTTAGAGGCACACAGTGAAATGCATGTGTAGGAAACTGTGGGTGTGGACATGCAGAATGGTGCTTAGTGCATTAGGGACCTTGTTAAGAGACAGCTTCAGAGAGAGAGAGACCTGGGTCTACAGTGAGAACATGCTTCATTTAGGACCTGAGGATAGAAAGTGAGACTGGACCTTTAGGAGTCTTCAGGCTGCAAATAACAGAGAATCCCGTTACCCTAAGGCAGCTTGTCTTCCGGTCCTAAGATGCCTGCAGTAGCAGCTGGGACTGCGTGCAAAATGCTAGAGCAGTAGAAAGATTAATCCTTCTCAAATGCATGAGTCCTTTTTTTTGCAGCCCAGTTAAGTCATTTCCTCGCCCTTGGATGGTAATAACGGGAAGAGTCTACCATGTTGAGCTGGGACAGGACCAGCTTTCCGTGAAGGACTGGACAGGAGGTGTGAATGCCAGATTAAATGTGTGACTCAACTAGGAAGCAGAGAGGGAGGGCAGTGATGGGTGATAGGCAGGAACTCCCTACCATTGGTTGTTACAGTAAGGGATCAGGCAGTTTGAAGGCAGGGCACAGTGACTGGCGAAGTCAAGATGAAGGGCGAAAAGTGTTAGAGATAAACCTAAGCTGGCAAAGCTATCCCAGTGCACAAAACCGAGGGGGTGCAGGAATGTTACGTCAAGCATTGACTTTTTAATAATTTAAATTTGATGTAACTGGAAGATATCCCATCCATTCTGTTTTGCAATGGCTAAAGATACATCGTTGAGCCTGGGCTTGAGGTCATGCAGGAGCGAGGCATGGAGCTGAAGACGTGGCCCCTGGTCACTGACACCAGTAGTGTGTGGGGAAGCCAACTGGGCCAGGGGCTGGGGAGGCAAGGCTGGAGGAATTCGGAGAGCAGGACTCTTCAGCAGAGCTGCATGTAGGACAGGGTCCAGTCTGCCAGGATCCCTATTTCCCCACGTGCATAGTGGTGGTACAGGGATGCTTGCTGTGTCACTGGTTGATGACACTGGAAACCACCTAAATATTCATACTTGTGGCACTGGTTAAATTAATCATCACGCACCTGGTATGTGGAATCCCAAGCCGCAGTGTGAAAGAGGTTGCAATGGGAAAATGCTCAGCTGTGGCGGTAAGTAGCAAAAGAAAGGGACAGGTGTATGCACAGTGTGCTCCTGTTTGTGCGATGAGACAATGTATGCTGGTCAAATGTGTATACGCCCAGAGACTATTTCTGGAAGGCATCTGAAAAACTCTCCATGTGTTTCCAGGGAGCTTGAGAACCTTGCTTTTTCTTTTTAACTCTGCTGGCTGCTATTTTCTTGAACCATGTGCATTTATCTGTAACAAAGCCTGGATCACAAAAATAAACACAGATATCAGAGAGGTCATGAGTCTGGGGACTTAGAGGATGCATAGGAGGAATCGGGAGTCTGGAGTCCCTGGAGGTAGGGACCACAGAGAGACTGTGACACTGATTGCTCAGAGCTGCAGAGAAGAGGAGACGGTGGTGGCTGGTTGGGCTCTTGGGGCCCCTCTGTGAATGGATGGACATTGCTGAAGGTCCTCAGTGAGTTCTGCACAGGTCCACTTCATTTGGGACTGGATCACCTTTCTTTAACCACTAGAGCCGGAGGGAGCCCTAAACTGGTAGTGAGTTTTCTATCGCTAGGACAAATGCCCAACACCCACAGCTGAAGGCGCAGAGCTCTAATTCAGCTCACTGTGTCAGGGTTCAGCTCAGGTCAGCTGACTCCAGGAAGAAACTTCATGGTGGCATGGCGTGGCAGCATAAAGCAGGGCAGGAAAACAGAGCCAGAGAGGCAGGGGCCAGGAGTGCATACAGTACCTGAAATCATACTTCCATGAGCTCTCACACACCCAGAAGAGTGCTTACTAGTCCCCTCGGCATTTTTCATCCCATCAGGTTGACGTCACAATGAACAGGCACAGTCCACCCCTTGTCAACTTGACAACCAGCATACCTCACTAAACACACTTAATCTCCAAATAAAGACAATAGCAAGTTCAGAATTAATGCAGCAGAGCTACCCCAAGCACAACCAGTTTCCCACTGCCAGTCTCAACAGTTCCAGCACTCTTCAAGCTTCGGTCAGAATCTCTCCTGAAACTCAAGGCAAACTCTTATCGATGAACCTGTGTAAAAATACAAAACAAGTTTTATGTAATCCCAAGGTACAATGGCACGGAGCAACCACTCCTACGCCAAAGGGGGACAATAGGGAATAGGAGAGCAGAGGACCAAAGCAAGACTGGCACACGCTGACTCTCGTGAAATGCTAGGTCAGTGTTTCTTAAACTGTGCCCCATGGAGCCCTTTGCTCCTGAGATGTTAATAAATATGAGCCAGGCACGCGTGCCCTGACCTACCAGTTTAGGAGACAGAATTAAAGGTTCTATGGGGCTCCCAGAATCTTTCACAGGTTAATGTCTCTGAGCCTCCAGGGTAAAGAAGTGATGTGCACAGTTGCTCCAGTTATGTGACCAGGAAATTCCTCTTGCAAGGAGTTTCTTTCTGGGGATTCGTTTCATGGACACAAGTTGAAGAATTCAGATCTAGATCAGTGACGTTTATGTGGATTTCTGTACCGCTCCCTACCCCGTTCCAGACAGTCTCACCCTTACTGTTTTAAAAGCAATTTGGTAGATGTAAACTGCAAACTTTTTCCCCTCAGATATGTGATCTGTGTGTACACACTATGTGATGGTGAAGTAAACATCATTAGCATCTCCATCTCCTCTGATGTTGGTCATTTACAGAAATGTTGACATTAGTTCGTTTGTTTTTCAGAGCAAGGAGATTGGCCTGCAGATGCATGAGGAGCTCCTGAAGGTGACCAACGAGCTGTACACAGTAAGTTCTACAGCTGCCTGTGGCCACCCATCTCCAGCACGCAGTGTGGAGGGGGAGCAGTGGAGATCTGGCCTTGGTGTCTTGTGTTGGAGTGACAGTGGGCTGTTGTTTCAGGGAGGATGAACACAGAGCCCTGGCTTGGTATTCTGTGCACTTGCTTCTGGTCCCAGCTTAATCCAGGCTCTCTGTGTTTATAGAACAACATTCAGGCTCAACCCTACAGCTTCAGCCACCAGTCGCTGTGTCCCTTAATATTTTTCTATAAATGGATCACAGCCCACCTGCCCTTAAAAAATCCTTCAGTCTTCTTCAACTATAGGGAAGGCAGCCTTGTGCAGGAAAGAACAGCAACCCAGAGGCAGTTGGGCCTGACTCTGTGGCCCTGCCAGGCAAACCTGAGTCCAGGCTTCCCCGGACGGGAGGGTGGGGATTTCCCAGCTGGTCTGTGTGGACTGAGTGTGGAGATGGCTGCAGGGGACTGCCTAGCACTGGGCAAACATCGTGCTATGCCATCGTGTCTTGAGACAGAATGAAGCGTACGTATTTTTCCTGCACCGTTTTGACCCTTCCCTTGTCCCCTATCCTCCTCTGTCTCTGGGCCAGCCCTTGCCTTAAGAAGCAGCACCATTCCCCCGGCCCACCCTCCAGATCACACACCTCCAGACTTGCCTAAAAGGCTTTCCTCTTGGACAGTGTTTCCTGCACTGGGAGGTGGAGGCCTGGAGATGGGAAAGGGACAGGAGGGAGAAGGGAGGGGAGAGGGGCAAAGGGCTTGCAAAGGAGGAGACGTGTAGTCTGCGTGTAGCAGTTACCCCCGACGGACATCACTGTGCTGTAATATAAGCATGTGCTGTTAACACACTGAGCAGATTACACTTGTGCTTTGTAAAACAGCAGCCACCCAGTGGGCACTAATTAAACAGTACAAGAAGATGCAAAAAGAGAAGGGATGTTTTCCACGCCCTCCTCTCCCCCTCTCCCCTTGGTCACCAGGTCACCAGGTGTAGGCACTGCGGTTCCTTCCAGGGGTGTCTGATTCTCCGGGACGCACACAGATGGAGCAGGCCCCACCCATCCATTCCACATGTCCTGAGCCCCTGCAGGTCCATGCTGTCTCTCCCGCATGTGCCGGTCATAGACTGTGTGCCGCTCTGAACACTTCCGCGTTCCGATGCACTTCATCCCTACCACCTTTCCAGGAGGGGCAATTATTATTTTGGGATGGCACAGAGAGGCCAGATAGCGCCCTCAGGGCCACCCTGCTGGAGAGTGGCGAGGCTATGCCAGACTCCACTTGCTGAAATGTTCCCCCAAGCTACTTAAATAATACATGACACTATTTATGTAAATGTATGTGCTGTGTCCTTCTGTGTGCACAGAGGCTCGCTCTGGACCTCCTGCAGATACCAAAGTCCTTTGTATAAAGTAGCATATTGTTTGCATGGAACCTATGCACATCTTCCCCCATTCCTGAACTCATCTTTAGGTGACTTGTAATACCTCACACCGTGCAAATGCTGCATCACTCAGTGTGAAGCTGTGTGGTTTAGGCAATAGTGACGGGAATTCTGCATGTATTCAGGGCAGACACAGCTTTTTCCCAATTACTTTCTGCTTGTGATTGGTCAAATCCAAGATGCTAACCCGCAGATGCTTAGGGTTGGCAGTGTTACCTACATCTATTTTGGAAGGCGATGCTCCTTTCCACGAGCAAATGAAAGGCAGCATGGGCAGTGCTGTGGAGCGCTGCAGAGCCTAGGCAGCATGGCTCCCACTCGCTGGTGGCTGTGGCTCAGGACTCATCAGCACCACAGTGAATCTTCCTTCCTGATGAGCCAAGAGCATCAAGGGGTTAACAACATGCAGGTGTCACTGACAGTCATCTTGCTCATGCAAGTAAGTCCCAACTGCTTTGCACCGCCCCAGCTGAGTCAAGTTCAGTGGAGTGCATGCAGATGCCAATCGGAAGGAGCTTCAATGTACTGCACACGTTTTTCTCTGCCACTCTGCCCAGATGGGAGGCTCAGGGTGGGGTGGCTTTGCAGGGCCACCCACAGGCTGCCCAGATGTCTGTGCAGGATCTTCAGAAGGACCAATGGCAGAGGTCACTATTGTGGGGCCTCCTCACCTCCCCAGCTCTCCTGAGGTCACTGGTGCATTCAGAGTATTTTTCTTGATCACGGGCTGAATCTAGACAGTGAGAGGTAGGTATACATGGTGACAGGGAGACACCGCCTTGGGGAACATGGAAGGTGTTGGGATGAGGGCACCTGCCAGGCATCGGAGGGTGACAGGGAAAATGGCAAGGACACACATGCAGTGGCAGGGAAGCTTGAGCAAGGGCCTAGGATGTGGGTATCCTGTTTTACCGGCTAGTCCCATTCACAGTCAGCATGGAGCTTGGTGGGCTGACTGACCGTTAGGGTCCATCTAGGGGTGAGGGATGGAAATCTGGGCAAGCCAGCTGTTTTTAGTCTTATTTTATGCTGCTATAATTTAATACTGAGAATGGGTAATTGATAAAGAATAGAGGTTTTGTTGGCTTATGGTTCTGGAGCCTGAAAAGTCCAAGAGGATGGTACTGGTGCCTGGTGATGGCCTCTGTGCTGTGCCACCCGGGCAGAAAGCAAGCAGGTAAGGCAGGGCCAGAGTGCGGGTGGGGGGAGCCAGGCTTGCTTTGGTGCAAATCTGCGAAAGGTAAGCCATTCCTGCAATACATGAACCACCTTCAAGGCTAATGCCTGCGGGAGTGATTTCCTGATGCCTCCACCACGGGGGATGCTTTCAACCCGCAGCCCTGGTTACGTGACTGTGACAGTCTGTGGGATCGCATAGGAAATCAGGCATAACTGGATTGAGGCTCCCACTCTCGTGCGTCTTACTCCGTGAGGGCAGAGGGCCTCTCTGTTTTCCACACTTGTATGTGAAGCACGTTTCATGTGTCACCTGACATGTAATACACAGCTCAATAAATACTTGGTAATTGAAGCTATAACTGTTCTTTCCCCTCTAATATACTCACTGGATCGAAGGCCCCAGAACCTCACCTGCTCCATTTTATTTCATTCTTTCCTCCCTCCCTCCCCCTTCTTTTTCTTTGTTCCATCCATCCATCCATCCATTCATCCATCCATCCATCCATCCATGTTTCAGCTTTTGGTTTCATTTTCTTTTGTTGTGGGCTTTGTGATCTGGAAGCCCTCCTTCTATCCAATGGAAAGCCAACTCTCACTTCCTGGTATTTTCAGCTTCTCTCCAAGGTGGCTTCTGATTGGCCTGGTTGAGATCCTGAGCCCCAATCATTATGGCCAGGTTAGCATAATATTTACTGATTGGCCATCCCAGGATTGGAAGGTGATGTCTGTTTCCCATGAACCACCAGGACTGAGACTAGCTGGAGGAGAATTTTGGGGAGTTCCTCAAAGATAATCAGGAAGTTATTCCTGGAAAAGGACTAGGTAATTCTGGGCAGAGAAAAGCAACAAATGTCCACAGTGGGGATGGAATGGGAAGACGAGGCACTGCCTGGGACAGCTAGCACGCTAACCACACCTGGTGTTCTACTTGTAAGCTGCTCCTCAGCCTTTCTGGCTCCTGTTGCCTCTGGATATAACGCTCACATTGCTCCTTTCATTTGAGAAGCTGTGCCATACTCCAAGCCCTGTTCATGGCAGCTTTTCCTTCATGGTTCAGTTTAAATGTCACTTCCTCCAGGAAGCCCTCCAGTGGCACCCTGCATGCTCCTTACTGTGATCACCATACCACGTGATAATCCCTCATGTCCCTACCATAGTGTGATTCTATGAGGACGGAGACCCCACATGTCTTCTATACTGTGGTACAGGAACTGACTCATAATGAACTTCTTAACAAGTATTTCATGAGCTGTATTTCAAGATACAGCTGTCCTTCTGGCCAAACAGATTCACAGAACTGTGTCTTCTCCATTGTCTTCTCTCTCTCTCTCTCTCTCTCTCTCTCTCTCTCTCTCTCTTTCTCTGTCTCTCTCTCCCTTCTGTTCACTCAGTGTATTAGTTAGGATCCTCTAGAGGAACAGAATCCATGGGAAATATATGTTTAATTATGCGGAGGGATTTACTAGGTAGTGTGCAGGATTGGGGCAGGAGACGCTGCTGTCTGCACTGGAGAACTGGGAATCTAGCAGCTGCACAGCACAGTGATGGGAGCTGCAGGACCAGATGGCTCAAGCATGCAGCACCTGCCGAGGTCACAGGCCAGGAAGGATGGAGGACGCTGCTGAGCCTGCGCTGGAAAGCTGAAAGCACTGAGCACCTGGAGACCAGTGTCCAGTGGAGATGGCAGCGGGGACGCACCTGCTCAGGAAGACGGAGCGCTTCAGAATGGGAAGCGTCCTCCTTTCCTTTTTATATTCCATCCAGGCACAAGGCTTTGGCTGGTGCTGCCTGGAACCCGTGCAGGGCCTCCTCCCTTGCTTTGCTGGCCCACACATCAGCAGACAATCCCAGAGCTGTGCTTTACTAGTCTCAAGGTGCTTCTTTATCCTTTTGAGTTGACATAGCATGATCAACAGTTGTACTCACCCATCCACCTACCCATTCATATTTCCACCCGCTCACATTTCTACCTGTCCTTCTGTCCATCCTTCCATCCTCCCATCCATTCACCCAGCCATCCATCTACCCTCCCATCCAACCACTTCTGTCAATCCATTGATTTGCTGGTCCGCTGATCCAGCCACATATTTATTTAGTCACTCATGCGAATGTATATTGATACTTGCCGGCTGCTGTGTGTGCTACTACAGGGAAGATGATCATCCACAAAGTTCTGGCCCTCAGGCCTTTACATTCTAATCGGGGTGACATGGTCTGCAAACCTGGAAGATGAGTAAATTAGAGATGAAGCTCATGGTACCCAATGAAGTCCCTGCCTGGGAGTGAAGCAGGTGCATGTGGCCTAAGCACTGAGAAGTTGTTTTCTGATGTCTGACCCTTGTCCTGCCCTGGTGTGTCTCTTTC